TGGTTTTTGATAATGAACTGGAAGAAAGTATTGTCAGTGGCCAAGATGTCTGCGGGGAATTCAACTCATCCTTAGATTATAGGTAAAGTAGAATTTGAATAACAAAATAATAGGATTGACCACACATTGATAAACTTTTTTAATAAATACTAGATGACCCGATAGATGTTGTCCTGTACCCTTGTCTACAATTTTTTAATATAATATACTAATATTTACCGTTTACACAAAATTAATACTTAATGTTTTTAAAAATTACTCTTCACGCCAAAATAATAATATGAGCGCTGTTGAATGTAGAACTGCTTTAAACAATGACATGTCGTTTTTTTGCAATTTTTTCCATTTATTTCTACATTATTGCATATACATCCCAGTACTTCATAATCACATACATCCTAAAAAATTTCCTTAACAAATTTCAGAAAAATTTATCATAATCCGAATAATCGTTTAGGAGGAGGATACAGTGAGTGCTTGTAATTTAATATGAACTTTATATAATAGCAATAAAGCTCAAATTGGTTGTACGTTTTAATTACGTACTTTTGTGTGTGAAAAAGAAAAGTCTGTTTTCAGGGTTTTCCCAGCAATTATTCAATTTTTTCTCGCAGTAAGAAAATTGGCCAAATTGGTCTAGGCGTTGTTGAGTTATGCGCTTACCAACTCATTTTGCGATTCATTTATATATTATAGATAAATAGGACAAATAATGCAAACGGTTATACGTTAAGACAAAACGGGAGGATAATACTGATCATGAGAAAAAATATAAAAAAAAATTCTAACGTAGTTTGAAACTTATAAGCTTTTAAGTGCAACCTAGAGCTTTGGTGAAAATGCGACATTTTTTGGTTTATTGTGGTTGATTTTTATAATTTTGTTCATTTATACTTTGGATTCGTAATCGTAAGCAGCATTTCTAGAAATACAATAAAAAAATGATACAATTGCTCCAAGTATTCAAGAATCAACCCTTTCCACTCGCTAATTCCGGAATCAATATGTATTTAAATTTATTTATTTATATCTATATTTATACAACACAATTATACAATTATAGATATTAATGGTACATAACTTAAATTAATATATATTAATACATACTATATTAAATAGTACGCTAGAGCGGCGGCATCCGAGACCGAGTGGAAAAGGTTAAGACTCTATATGAATTTAAAATTTTCAAAATTGGTCGACTTTGAGAAGCCCTTCTATCTATCATTGCTATGATTTTCACTTGAAATTATATTGAGATCTATAACCTCAAGTGGAAATTTGACATCAAAGCTGACTGATTTCATTCTATATAGTTATATTATTAGAATATGATTTTTTTTTCAATATAATTTTATTCTATTTCAAAGAAGTATTTTGTTTGACTAATATATATGTAAAAATATGTAATATTTGTAACATTAAATCTACATATGAAATTAATTATTATAAACGGCCCGCATTTTCGCAAAGGATTAATAATAAGGTTACGAAATTTACGAACTCGAAAAACTTGTTAAGCCATAAAAATAAGAAGTGCAATTTAACCATTTTACATATACAGTAGAACCTCGTTTATCTTGGCTTTTCTGGGATGGGAATCGAACTAGTGAACCCATAGTTGGTGCTAGCCCGAGTCCGAACCGATTACGCCACCGCTGAGCCGACATTTTCTATGATTAATTTTTTTTCAGGTGCGATGAATCCATTATGGACTTAGATAATACGGCAACCCTCAGCTCACCTGTGGATTGCGAAGAAATTGATCTGAGGCATTACAGTATCGACTCAAATGCTTCCATTGAAGAAATCAATTTAGAAGAGTTCGATCCGAATGTATTAACAGATTTGCAGGTATTAACAGATTTATAAAAAAATTTCTGTGTTAATAATAAGTAATAATTAAAAATTATAGAAATCATATTTTCTATCATATATTGTTTCGAATTTTTAATTAGCTACAGAATTCTTTTGTTCTTCTAGATATTCTAGCTTAGTTTACTAATCTTTTTCTTTCTTTGGGCAGCTATCAAAACCAGGTGATCTATAAGCTATTGCAAACTATAGTAGAAATACCATTAATTTTACGAACCCTATTACGAAGGCAAAATTAAATCCATTGTCCTTATTCTAGCTGAGATTTTTTTTCTTGTACTAAACTTTTTTTCTAACTACTTTTTACTATTAGAAGGTAAACTAAGGAACGTTCTTTCTACTTGAGCCATTCCGCGAAAAGCTTTTTTACTTGGAAACATTTTCGAGTCAATTTTTTTAAAGTGAAAATTGATAATACTGCTTTTATACCATGGTACCAACAAAGAGCGTTACAAAACATCCATTTAAATCATATTTAATTTATAAAAATTATAATACTTAGTATTTGAAATTATGTACAAGATATTATGCACGATGCTCGTCTATATTTTATGATCAATAATACAAGCTGATTATGAGTCAGTCAGGTTAATGAAAATGTTTACCAGCAATTTTTTTGTTTGATCACATACCAATCAAATTTGCAATGAATTCATCATAGTTTCAGCAGTAGTAAAACTTGTTGCGGAGAATAGCGTTGTTATGGTAATGTTAAGCTGCTTTCTTGGTACTAAAAACTGTCAAAATGCTATTTATTTGCTGTGCGATCTGGCGTTTTACACATGACGTACAGGTAACCCCTGTATAACATGATACTTCTATAAAATGGTTTCGCTCTAACACGGTTTAACAATTGATACCATCCCCTTGATAACACGGTACTTTTAAAGCACGGGTTCGTTCTAACACGGTTTGAGCAAAACCCCAATAAAATAAAAGTATAATAGCTCAATAAATGTGATGAAACTAGTGTAATAATAACTAATTCGATACGGTATTATTCAAGCGCGTTCGTTCTATAGAAAAAAAAAGGACAATTAGTCAATCAGTCCTAAACAAAGATCCTTTAAATAAAATGAACATACAGTTTTAATAAAGATAACTTTGCACGTGGAAAATATATAAATATCTTCTTGCTTATATATGAATATCTAAGCAAGTAATCGCAAATATATTGTTTTTGCAAAAAATAATGCACGGATCTTGAGGTACAGAAAACTGCTCAGAAGAAGAGGATACTTTGCAAAAAACAAGGATCGTGTTGGATAGCACTTACATGTTGACAAAAAAAACATATAATTCATGTAATGTATATTATTCCTTAAAAAAATAATAAATATAATAATATTTATCATAAAATCATGATATGTAGCACGTTTTTTTCAATTTTTGGAAAGTAACCCCTCTTTTAGTACTAGTCATTTGTCCCGTATAACACGCTACTTTTTTCAAACGTAACTACCGTGTTATGCGGGGGTTACCTATATGTGTTTTTATGACACATAAAAAATTAGCAGTAATGATAACATTCTTTTTTGACGTTTTTACGTTTTCAAAGAGAGATTTTATATCTAAAACGCCATATCCCAGACTCCACAGCAAATTCCACCAAGAAAGCAGTCTAACATCGCGTTGTAATGGTCTATTTTACCGGAGAATTACCCCCTAAGCCTTCCTTAAAATACGATTTTTTAGATATGGGTTTCTCTAGATCAGTGGCGAACTATAGGATGGCATGGGTGGCAACTTGCCACGGGCCTCCAACCCTATGGGGCTCCTGGCCAAAGTGACCGCGTGCTCAGAAATATATTTTTATATTATCTGAATATTTCATTTCACTTGGAAAATATATTTTATAGTCCAAAGTAAGACAACTAAAGACAATAATACAATTTCAAGTTAATCATAAAGCATTTGAAAACTCTCCATACAAAGGATTTTGATTCATTTAAGAGCTGATATATTGTTTTTTTAAATATTTTGTGACTCTTTTTTTTAACAGTTTGAGATTTTTTTAAATTCTTTAGTCATAGTATCAAAAGACGTAGTACTTTAACAAGATTTATATCTACTAACCAAATGTCATCAACCTTATTGACATTAGAAACATTAGAGTGAAATATTTCAGAATTGTATAATTGTTTTCGTTAGTGCTTTTTGGAACTTAACAAAACTAACTTTTGAAGCAAAAATGGCATCATGATGTTAAATTATTAAACCCTACTAGATGGGTAGAACATTATGATGCCTATTTGGTTTTAGAAGTTCGCTTTATTGAGGTCCAAAAAGCACTAACAAAAACAATTCAGATGAAAAAAATGAACCTATTTTACATAAAAAGAGTTTTTAAATAAAAACTACAATTTTATTATGTTATTGGTTTATCATTGTAATATCCTACAAATTATCGATGGAGCATCTAAAGCTATCAACCTTTCAAATGCACTAAAACATTCGAAAAATTTTCTAGAACAAATGAAAAAGTGTCGGCATGTATTTGAAAATTTTAAATTAGAAGTAAATAGTATAAGAGAAAAATGGTCTGTCAATCCAGAATTAATATTTTACTTGCTTTTTGTACGTTCTGTATAATTTCATAATTTAAAGCCATAAAATATGAATTAGTCGAAGTTGGTTTGCTCATTTGTAATATAATTAATTAAAAATCATCTTGGCCAGTAGTGAAACAACGTGCTATTGAATACGTTAAAAAATATAAACAAATAGAAATTGAGTATCACGATAGGGCTCCTAAAGAATTGGCCACGGGCCCCGGAGGGTCTAATTACACCACTAGTATAGATAATCAAATGTATGTGGAATTAATTGCGCACGTTTTGTTAAATTTATGATTCAGTAATTCTAATAATTATTGCTTGTTGCAAATGCTACATGTGTTATTAACTAATCTCCATGATTGGTAAATTAAAGCTAATGCTTTATAGACATTCAGAATATAATGTGACATTACTATCTATCTAGGATATAGGCTTACAGACATGTTTTGATTGAGAAGGGATAATAAATCTGTTGATATAATTTTTATACAGAATACATATGAAAAATTAGAAAAAAATGCATGGTATTAAAAAAATATGATTTTATGTTATAAAATCAAAAAACAGTACCTTATCTAACGGCTGTCAAACGTCACCGTCTGCGTCACCATCTTGAGTTTCATTATATTATTTATTTTCTCCCATATGTTTATTACGTAAAGAATAAACATATTTACGAATAATTTTATAGACATAACTATTAGTTAATATCTTTCATGGTCCATTATTTTCATCATAATGTTCTTGCACACATTTGTTTATGTACACTAAAAGAATCATCACTACATATGATTGCACTAAATGTTTGTTGCATTTCCGGCCAAGAGATATGAAATTATTATGACAAATTATATATGTAACCATAAAATTCAACAATACACGTAATAATTCAAGCTATATTAATTTAAAAAAGACTATTACTCGTTATTACTAGTTTCTGTTATTGTCACACATAAATGAGTTTGAAATTTCACTGACACTGAGAAATTTGTGTTTTAACATGCATTATATATTAACGTTAAAATTCGATTATTAATGATTCGTAATTACAACCAAACTATCTTAATTATTGCCAATTTTGATGACATATTTAATATTATTTTCTTTATGTAAAAAAATCTCTATTTCCCGCACATCATTCCACATTAACCTGTACACTGAACAGATAAACAATAATTTTTTGCTAAGTTCACTCTATTATGATTGAAATAAAATTTGATAAAAACATAACAATGTACGTACGTTACAAAACAAGTTTCTTAGGAATTTATTTTTATCATTATTTATAGTCTTATGTACGTTTTTTTCTAAAGTTTAAACTATCAATTATTAAAAACATATTTCTAATAATACAAATTATATGTTATTAATTAATAATTATATATAATTAATCGTCATACAAATCAACGCGGGGGTTAGGTTCTATCAAAGCGAAACAGCGTAAACGTTCAAATTGGCTATTTATTACAGTATATATTATAGATAATTATTTATTAAATTTAATAACGGTTATTATTAATAAAAATAAATAAAAAGTTAACCAAGTTTTAGTAATCTCTAAGACCCCATTTAAGATTGCAATTGTTTGTACTTATTATTAGTTTAACTACAAATATATTTATTATAGTATATTCTATTACTATATTATTACTATACAATTTTTGTTGATGTAACTTAATTTCTTTTATTTGTACGTATAAAATACAATCACTATTACAAGACAACATAAATATATTCTATATATAATGCTAGTCCAAGTAATTATCACAGTTATTGTTATACATTAGACAGCTAATGGCATTATATTCTCCTTTATGAAATATAATGTGCAATATATACAATATGATTAACTTAAATATTATAATTTACTTCCAAGAATGTATCAAATCAACCAGTAAGCATGGATAATTCAGGATGGATACTGGTGGATGATGACTTACAAAAGGCGGTTGCTGAAATACTATGCGAAGGAAATGGTGTTACACAAAGTGTTGAAGTACAATACATTGTGCCATTTCCAATTTCTACTGAAACAGGTTATTATCACATATTATAATTAGACTAATTTAATTTTAGCAAGTAATTTTCTAAATCACATAAATCTTAAATCACATAAAATGACCAACAAGTTATTTACAAAATTTGAATATATATTACAATTGTTTATTGAAATCAAAGTTAATTATTGATTTCAATACTTAGATTAAACTATCTTCAAATTCTTAACAATATTGTTTTGTAAAACAATTTTATTTTTCAATCTTTTTCTTGGATTTCAAAAGGTGTGATTCCATGATAAATAAAATTCTCGATAACATAATATCAGGTGAGAGTACTCTGTTTTAACATAACACAAAGCGTACTACGTTATGATTTTGCTTATGCATTTAATAATTAGGTACTATTTCATTCATTTTTAAATAATATAAATATGCTTACTTAATCACAGCATTGAATTATAAGTAGTTAACAATAAGTCTTATAGTTCATTCTCATTTTGACATGTTTAATAATATAATGACATCAGACAATCATTCATATTCACTAAAGTAGTTTTCAGTCCACAACTTTTTAAACTCGTCTAATGAAATATTTCGTGGTACAGCATCTGCCACTAAAAAATAAATAATTTCAGACACTATGACTAAGAACTAAAGGGAGAGACTATAATTTCCACATAGATATAATTATAAAAAATATTCTTCATAATAGGAAAACAAAATTAAATAAGCGCCTACAACATTATCTATGATGAAAATGCATACCAGTTCAAAATCCCAAAAGTTTCATAGTGCCTAAAAGTATGTCAATGATTAAACTAGAAAAAGCTCTATTTCATAAACATTCAAGCTTCTTAATTTGTTTAAATATTTCATATTTTATGATAATATATAATGCATTCAAATAATTATAATGATGAGAATTATTTTTAAATTTCAGATATGAACTTCAATTTGAACATGGAATCTGATTTTTTTAGTGCTGTTCACTCTGAAAACACGTACTTTGATCCCAATCCAACTTATCTACAGATTCCAGAAACGGAGAATGTTTTGTCTCTTTGATGTCAAATATTTTTGTGATATTTATATTACAATAGTTTTAAGCATCTATATCTAGTCATACTTTTTAATTAAATTTAATGTAATTAAGTAATCTGGTCATTTTTTAAATCTAGTTATATATTTATAGTACATTTCATGTGTGGTTGTATTCAATTTATGTTGATAATTTATTTATTTATGCCCAATATTGTATCAAAAATAATGTATTGATATATACAAAACTAAAAAAATATAGGATATCTAAACTCAAACTCTTCTAACATCTTTTTTGAAATCATTAAGTTGTAGTGGTATTCTACAAATAAAATATGCACTAATTCTATTAACATATTTTTCAATTTAAAACAATTGACAAAATTTTTTTGTATGTAGATATGTATATGTATATATATATATATATATATATATATATATATATATATATACATATACATATGCTAATTAAATTACAGCGATATTAGTTTTACACTAAATTATATTACAATCCTGCAGCATGTGCTGATTTGATAAATAAATATGCATTATCTAATGGCAGTTAATAAATTTTGTTGATAAAATGATACCAACAATATTGTACTAATGCTCTTGTTCAAAAAACCTATTTTTGTACATCACCTGGATTTATAATCGCAGCTCTTTCAGAACTTGATATCTTCATTCTTTTTGGTGTATACTCTGGATAGTTCACTAATTCATACACAGATTCTGGAGATGAACTGAGTTTTCGTTTCTTTTGATTAGCGTCTCTTAATCTGCATTTAAAAATCACATATTAATGCACAGTATATATTTTTTATCAGACTAATTTAAATCTATTTTTAAAGAAATTGATGCTACTGAATGCAGCATTTTGAAAATATGCTAATTTGTACTACTAACTAACTATTAAGAGGTTAATTGAGCTAAGCAGCTACATACAGAACATTGAGGTGTTTTATTTCATATAACATATATTTCAACCACAATTATATTGGTTGCCAATATCCCTATTTTAAATGAAATTATGCATCAACTAAGTAGTTGATAAATAAAAATCAATCTATTTATTAGTCTATAATTGGAGTTATTATGATCTACATCTACACTAGTCTAATATTTCAAAATTATCTTATTATAAAAAAAATATAAAAACACCTAGAATATTTGCTAAACTAAAAAGTAAAGTAATGAATTAAAAATAAATTCATTTGTTAATTGGTAAATTACCCATTTTTAATAAATAGGATAAGTAAATACATATTAAAATAAGTATTTGAATATATAATATTTTTTTATCTATTATAAATAATTTATGTAATATGTTTATATCCAGTAATCTTTAAAAGATCTGAATAAATTAATACTTAAATTGAAAATTTATCTAACTATAATAAGAAGATATATATTAAACTTACTGAATAATCTTTTCTGCACACGGCTGAACTTCATCTTCCATATATGCAGTCATATTTCTGATATCTGTTGTCCATACTGGAGAAATATTTAATACTCTTCTTGTTGCATAAATTATTGCAGAACCAATCAGCGAAGGTACTGAATGTACTATGCCTATATCTAAAACGATACGAGTATTAGAATTAAAAATTTATGATATGATCATTAAAAAATACTGGTATTTAGAATATGCAATATTGAAATACTTTAAAAGCTCATAATTTAGAATTATAATTAGAGAACTAAACTATACATTGTATCTCCTAATTTATAAGAAGCCACAAGTTTATTAACTTCAAGCAATAGTTTGTTCTAATACAATTCACTTGTGAGCAATTATTCTTATAAATTAGGAAAATCTAGTATGTACTATAAATGTTAATTAATAATTAAAGCACATAAATTAATTACCTTTCAAGCATAAATCCATAATTTCGAATACTGTTTCATGAGCCACAAATTTGAATTGTTTAAAATCATCATACTTATCAGAGTTCTTTTTAGCTAACTCAAAATCCGACTCACTAACAACAAGAAATATAAAATATTCCATGAAATGAGAATAAGTAATCATGGATATGTTGAATGAAAAGAATTCCATAATCATTACTTCAACAGAAATATAATCTTTTAATGGGTATTGATTGCTAATCATTGTGTTGAGTTCAGACATCTTGGGTACTTTATGTTCACTATCTTCCAATTTGGCACCAAGTAATAGACATACTAGAGCAACTAATTTCAATCGTTCCACTGCAATGTTATGGTTGTCCATGAAAATGTCTAGTATAAATACTGCCAAATGAACGCATGTGGTGTTCAGGCCTTTCTGTTCGGCCACCTCGCAGATCAAACTTACTAAAACATTTCTGAGATAAAGCTGAAAAAGAAAGAGTATAAATATTAGACAGAAGTATATCTAATAATGAGCAATATTAAATTAATCTATTTTTCTAAAATTGATACTAATGAAAGAGTGATATTTGAATCATATCATAAGAATCTTTCTTAATATGGTTCCATTGTTTTGAAGAAAAGTAATATTTAATAAAGAAAACCGATGGTCATCGATTTATGGTTAGATTTATCTGTAACAAAATAAATATTAAAAAGCAAACCGAATAAACAGTTATTTAAAACAAATATTTCTGTATACTTATACCATGATAAATAGAGAGATAAAAATAATAATCTTGTGTAACAAAAAGTGGGAATGTGTATACGATAAAAAGTATACAATGTATATAATATAATTTTCGAAATTATATTATGACAAATAGGTGAGAAGAATTGTCATACATATATATGTTTGACAAACTATATAATTTGTTTTAAATATTTCAACCTCTATGATTCCTATAAACATTTTTTTATTTCAATGAATTTCTATCAAATATAACCTGAGGAGACTGTGAATTAAACGTAGGCCTACATTTTTCCTTGTCATATAAATGTTCTGCAATATCAGAAGCATAATCTGTAAACCACCAATGTTGATAAATTGACATCTGCAAAAAAACACACATGATATTCATACAGCCACAAATTCCTTGTAAAAAAAGTGTCTACTTACAGAACCATACTGTGAAAATAACTCGGTTCCAGTGTAACTGATTATTTCATCACAATTTTCCTTGTAGATTCTAATAGTTTCTTCTTCGCCCATTTTAGTAAGAATACTAGAATTTGTAATTTTATAACCAAATCTTACTGGAAGTCACATTGATGGATACTGAGCCATTGCTAAGTACAAACTTCCCTTTGGATTGTGACAAATAGTAAATAATGTACGCGCGAGATGTAAACACTGAATTAAACTTCAGTTATGTTTATAATGATAAAATACATTATTTTAACTAAAGTTCAGTTTTGTTTACTAGAATTTATAATTCAATACTTGAAGCACTTTAAGTTAATGGCATTTTTTTATTAGAATCATGATTCAGAACTTGAAACAATCTAATTAAGCCTTAGACAATTTTTTTTAATAACAAATATTTTGTATGCAATAAAATTTTGATATATTAACATAATGATACATTTCTAATGACATTTGCAAAACTGACTAACTTTCTTAATAAACCGAATTAGACCAAATTTTAACAATTGCTTTATTCAAGTTTTTTTTCCATTTTGCGTCATTAAAAAATTCTTCTGGGGCTAACGTCAGGGCGTTCCGTTTTTGACCTCAAGATTGATTAACGCTATTTAATATATATCCTCGGATTGATTGAAGGATTTGTTAACAATTTGTATATTAATTCATCATTTATAAGTATATACATTAAATTAATTAAGTATTAATATTACGAAGAAACATCTTCGTCGACTTTTACCAAAAATTAACTTCGTAGCTGTAATCTCCAACTGATAGCTTTAGAATAAGCTTTGACTTGAGAAGGCATGAATAATCTTTTGCACAATTTTTGAATTCCCGAAATGGCTTTCAAATTTGTTGTAATAATGTTGGAGTAATAATATATCATTAACTAAAACGGTTATTTTACTTACAATTGTGTATAAGACTAATTTGCACGAATTCAAATAATTAAAATAAATTATGAAAACAAACTCCTTTTATATAAAACAATAATTATCCCAACTTGGACATACGGAAATGAGCTATGGGCGTGCTCATGCAACTAAAATATAAAAAAATACAAATAGCGCAATTGAAAATTTTAAGATGAATTGTGAACGCACCCTGGTATATTACAAATTACACTCTACATAAAGACCTAAAAATAAAAACTATTAATGAAATGATAAAAGAAAGGAACAAAAAAATACCACGAAAAATTACCTGGTCACCCAAACAAATATTAAAAGAGTTAAGCGAGGAATCTCATAAAAAAAATTAAAAAAAAGAGATTGTCTCATAGGAGATTGGTGTGGAGATTTGGTGTAAATCACCAAGCATATTGTCTTAAAAAAATTATATTATTTTGATTGGCAATAAATCTATGCAAATAAAAATTGTTTATAAATCATACTTATAATAATCAATAATATTTATTATTAAAACAAACTGTCCGTCTGTTGAAATATAGGCATGTTTAAATTTTGTCATAACTAGGGATTATGGCTTTAAAGAAAAATTATAATTAAAATAATAAATTAATGAATTTATATACTTAGAATTAATATTATAATTATTTTTATTTTACTAAAATATGCAATTTATATTTTTTAAATTCATTTAATAATATTGATAATTAAAGTAAATGATGGGTATGGTATTGCCCTAGGGCAGGTCCATGAACTGAAAATCAGGTAAGAATAGTGTGAGAGATTTTCCATTACTTTTAATTGGAAATATATTTTTAATCTGTATGTTTAGGTAAAAATTGACATCGCTGCTGCCCGATGTCAGATTGCTGGAACGTAAAACGGGGACTTGAACTTACGACCCCGTCGAAATAAGCAAAAAATGTGAAAAGTATGAAAAGAATATAATTCCAAATATTCCATTTTTTATGAAGAGATTGAAAAATGTGAAAATCATCAAAAATATGACAAATTTGAAAAAATTAATATCGTTGAAAATTTGTAAAAAAAATGATTTAAAATTTGTCCAATTTCAAAGAACTGATTTCTGTTATAAAAAAATTTAATATGGCAAAATTTTGTAGAAAAATATACATTTACATATCTCATACATATTTTTGGTCATATGTGTTCAACATTGCCAGTACAGAATACTATACCAAGTTAAATACATAAGTTTATTTTTTAAATTTTTCATTTAAAACTTAAAATATCATCGTCCAGTCATTTAAGCTTAAATTAGGTAAGAATTTTGGAATTCGAGACACCCAGCTGTAAGTCTGTATATACTTGTATATTGACACCTAAAAGTTGTCTCAAAACCTACGTATGGTAGAGTGTACACAAGATATGTAGGTTTTTGGTGTCAATATACAAGTATTTACAAACACACAGCTGGGTCTCTCGAATTCTGAGGTGAACTTTTACTATAATGGCTGGACTACCATGCTCAAAATGTTTTATTAAAATGATTCTTATTAGACCTTTAGCAAATTTTATGTATATTTTAAAAATATTTAGAGAATCTCCATATAATAGTACGCAAAACTCAATTTATTTTATGTGCATATGTAAAATATTAATTTTTCTTCTGAAAATAGACGTTTTTACTAATTTGTCTAATGTAACTCAAAAACAGCTGAACCTGTCTTCATCAAAACCAAGAAGCATAAACATTAAAAACAGAAATCTTATGTTTCCAATAAAGTAAGTCAGTTCAACCAATTCTCTAAAATATATACACACTCTTGCAATTTTTGAATTTGCTCCGAAATTAAACTAAAAAAAGAGCATAATTTAATTATTACGCACATTGTGAATAGTTAATTATGAATTTAGATATTTTATGAAAATACCATCCAATAAAAAACCTTTACTAATAATTAAAAAGGCACATTATTATGAATTTTTTACTATAGAAATGAATTTTTCAAAATGATTTTGTCAGAATATTTTTTTACCTGCACAAAATAGAAGCACATATTAGAACGGCAACTTCAATAAAAACGATTATAAAATAAATAATTAAACCCACAAATATGCAATCCATTTTGCAATTAATATGAAATTTTCAGTTTATATTTCAAGCTCTCCTATTACGTCATAGCATATTTTTCTGCAAACTGCACCAATATTATTTTGAATTATTTGAATACACTCTTGTTCCCGTTGAATATCTCTTTCTGTCTCATCCGAAGCCGAAAGTACTACTTTTTCAAAATTTTTCAAATCGAATTCGACATGGGATTCGACACCATCAATTAAAATATTTTTAGAGTTATAAGGTTGCGCCAATACCATGTAAATATTTTCGGTGGTTTTGTTTTTTTTATTTTTCACTGTATTACTTGCAGGATATTTATTATTTTGCAACATTTTTCTTCGCCTTTCTTCTGCCAGTGCTTTTATGTCTTCATTGATATAACCTGGACGCCAATCTCCTGGAAGCTGAAAATTTATTATTAGACTCTATTATATACAAAGGCAAACATTCATATTTTCCATCAAGGTAAAACATTAATTACATACTTACAAAATAAGATTAGTTATTACTAACAAGGTTTGAAATTTACCGTATACATTATAATTAACATTTTCTAATTTTTTGAAAATTGTATTTGCTATTAAATTTCTACTAAAATAATTACCAAATGATTAATAGCTTGATTTCCAAATACATTTTTATTTTAAGGTTGTTTAATAGTTCATACTTTTCCGACAAATAAAAATTCTAGAACTATTCACAAGAGAATTACTGAATTGATCGAATTACAATCATCTGGTTTTTGACGACCTACTCGTCTTTTATTGTTTTTACAGTTTCACACAAAAAGCAGATAAACTGTTCATTTTTGTTTTTTGTATACTTTTTTAGTCACTCTAATCAAATTATTATTTCTTATACCATATTTATCTCATACCATATTTATCGTATAAGCATAATTATAAATAATTTTCCAACCTTTTTGACGCCTGGCAAAGGTCTATGGGACCAAAGCCAACCCATATTAGGCGGTACTTTTTTGCCAGCGACATTTACGCCACAGTCCTGATGCCTGTCGCGTGCAGGAGGGTTGCGCTCCCCTGCAGAGTAAACGTAGGCGCTCTCTTCCGGGACAGGAATATTCACTTTCGGCCGTCGCAAAGGCATTTCTCGACCGGCACCAAATGGAACGCGAATGGGTCTAATGGTTTATTTTTTTTTTATTATTATTAATTGTGATTATAACTAAATAATCCAAAAAGCTTATAGTGAACGCTTCTAATAAGTGGCCTTTTAGAAGGCAACCCATGGCTAATCTCTATATTATAAATTTATTAATATTAGAATTTCTCTAATGCTGATGACTTATTTGATGCAGCACCTAAAAAGAACTATTTTCACATGGAAACATTCTATTTTTTCAACTAAAAATCGATGTCACTACTGCTTGATATTAAAATATTCTCTTAATAACATATCGAAACTGACGCACCACAGCTATAACCAAATTCCACGAGAAAGCCAATCTCATTTTTAAATAAATAATAATATAATAATAATCATTTTCTTGTTTAAATATACAGCTACTTGACAACGGCTTAAAAAACTTATTCTTGATTCAATCGTGATTCAATGAATCTGATATTCAAACTTTGATTAATTTATTAGTATGTAATATCGTAAATTAATAAACCAAACACAAAATTAAAAGTCTACTGCATTATTGCAAATTGTTGCTTTCCATAATAATAATTTATATTAGAAAAATTTTGCATACTGCTAAATTTTCTACTTTGATAATTTGTTAGGCATATGATATTTTGTGATAGCTATTTTTGCACCTATCAGTTGTTTACACCGAAAATACAAGTCCATGGTTTAATGATGGTTTTCAAATCCGTAATTGTTACTAGCAAATACAAAGGTAGGTATACAAAATCATGAAATAATAATCTTAAATCTTAATAATAAGCAGTATCTTTTCTAGTTACATAAATGGTTTACTTACCCTCGTAATATTTTTGGTTGCACCTTAGGCCCATCTTGTAAAATACAGGCACCACCACCATCATCTGGAACACCATGTGGATAACATGTGCCTGGATATGGTACTTTTTTGGACGTTATTGTGGAAGAAGGACAAACCTATTGTAGGTAATTTATTAGTAAAAATTCTATATATGAATTTATTTTGAAGATGAATTACCTTAAGACAATCATAGATTGTTTTCTGTTTCCTC